GTGATTGAATGGTGATCCAAAAATATGTACGTAGAAGAGAGGCAAAAGAGAAAACATTTTATGCAATTTGCCTAACAAAACAAAGGTGGAGTGATGTAATAATTTTTTTTAAAAAAATGAAAGATCACTTTTTTATTCCAAATTATTCCAAATCCAACAGTATTTTTAACCAAACGTGATTTCAAATCGTTTTATGATTTTAAATTCCTTCTTTTTCTTTACTAACCAAGCAGCACAAAATGATTCTAAAATTGATTTGCAAGGCTTGCAAATTAGATGTTCCAAATGTAGGTAGATGTCAAGGCATTTTAATGACTATCTATATCTATTTTTAAAATTTCAGAGACGAATTCATAGACCAAAAGCGATATTTATATAAATATCTTAAAATAAATATGTATGACATAACTCAAATCAAATAGAAACTCTAGACCTAATTCAAAACACACTTAAAGCAAATATCACTCATGCTATATTTGGATAAAAGTAAAAAATTATGACATCTTTGATATTTTAAAATTCATATATTTTTAGCAAAAATTCTTTAAAAAATAAAAGAGTTTGGTCAAAAGTCTTCATCATTACTACCAATTAATAATCCATTCTCTTCACTCCCACGCAACCTCAAATCCCCTCCTTATTACATTACCCTTTTTCTCTCTATCCATATTATTTACCTTTTGGAACCTCCCTCTACGTTATTAATACCTTACCTTTTCCTCCTACCATATGATTTCCTCAATCTTACAATTCCCATCTTAATTAACTTCTTTATTTTGACCTAATTTTATATCATAATTAATGACCATTAAATTAATTGTAGTTGAATATCTAATGTCCACGTTTTGTAATGATGTTACACAAGTACAATTCAGAGTTTCAAGAAGTAATCGGAAATTTTAGGAAGTTTAGAAAATAAAAGGATTTAGTATTTTTTTTTTATGAGAGTTTAAATTCCTAATAAGTACAAGACTAACATTAACTAGATATAAGAGTAATCTAAAATTTATACATTACTAAGCCACTTCTAGATAATTACTACATTTGACAAAAGTTTGATGTTGTTCCTCTAGCCGAACAACTTGAGGAGGGCTGGTCTTGATAATTTACCTCTCTTGAATAGGAGGTTGGTTCCTCGTCTCTCTTGATGTAGAAATTTGACCTTTTGAAATTCTGCTAAATTCGCACCAATCTTTTAGAATAAAAGGGATCGACGAAACCTACAAAAGCAAATAGCACTGAGTACCGGTGTGACTCGTACCACACATGCTCTGATGCTTAAGTCAGAATTGGAGTAGTTGAGTATGGACGGTAGGGTATTTTGACGAACTCTAGAAATATAGAAGTCGAATCCTGGTGTTCCTAGGAAATTTGGACTTCTGGGCCGGTGGACTTTGTTGTGGGCCTATCGGATTGAGAGTCAAGACAAGATGGGTTCGGGTGGGGCTGCACAACAATCAGGAGCACCATTGGAGTTCTCAGTCGGTGGTCGAGAACTGGTCTGCTCGACGACGGTCCCGAGTCGGCCATGGTCGACTCGGGTTGTTGGGTTCCAGTTTCTTTACCTGGTTCGTGTGTCTGAGTCCACTTCCCTTTACCGCTTAGTCGAATCTTGTCTGAACACCCTGGATCGGGTCATGCATTGGGCCAGGACCATGACCAGTGATGTAGTTCGCCTGTCGGGTCTTATTTTGTCTTCCCATAATGGACGTCTTAAGATTAGGACGAGAAGGCCAATGAACGTTGGGCTTAATTATTGGCTTCGTGGGCATGCTTAGGTTGATTGCCACGAGTAATATAACTCGTTGTATCTATCCTAGACAAGGATAGTAGCGCAACCAGAACGAATCTCTTCGATTTATTTCTCGATTAATTTCTGGAGGAGGCTCGATCAAAGCTAAAGGGAAGAACAAATATAGTCTAACTTCGAAACTTCTTAAAGAAATCCTACGAATACACCGACTCAATGCCTTGAAGTGAGTTGGGACTTCACATATGAGAACTCCATTAGCCTTAAGACAAACCATTTTCCAAAGATGTACGTAGAACCATCCCTCCTATTTTTTGATGGGTGGGTCCATTAACTATAAAAGTGAACTCTTATATTCAAGGCCATTTACTAAGGTTCCCAAGCCTTTCATGTTCGTAAGAAATGAATATATAGTAAACAAGATTAATTTTAAAAAATAAGCTAATAATTCAACCAGGTCAGAATAAAGAATATTGACTAATAATATGTTTGAGTTTCAAAAAATATTAAAAAATTTTGAATAATAAGTGGTCGGCTTAAAAAAAAGAAACAAGGACCCATATTTTGAATGGAAAATTTTAAATTAGACATCGTAATACCATTCGTGAAATTATTTATAAAAATTGATAACCATGTAAATACTTATATAAAGATTTTGCCCTTACCATCCCGTTTTGAAATATATTCATTAGTCTTTTGACTACATTTCTTTTCGCAACCAGGCTTATGCAAGTGGGGTTGTAAATTCGAATATTTCACCTCGTATTTATGATGTTATATATATATATTTTTTAAATGGTTGAGAATCAAATGTATACGGGAATATGTGGTTGTGTTTTGTTATTATATTTATGGATAAAAATGGAATCTTCTACTGCTATCTAATCGAGCAATACTATGTAATTCAATTGGTTAAGGTATTAAAAATTTAGGGTTTAAATTCACACTTCTTGTAATATTATATTTAAAAAAATCCAACAATATCATTGAATAAGAATATATAATTGACAATTTATGAAATAATAGAGACAAAATTGGTTTAATTGGAGTAGAAATTTTGAAATAAAATATTTATTAACGGTTAGGTGAGACTATCTAATAGTATATATTTCATTTTATTTTCATATAAATATAAACATTTTAAGATTGCAGTCAAATTTTTTAAGAAAAGAATAAAGGACTTTACGAAACATTTAATTACTATTTTTAAATCATGAACAGTACTGGATTTTCTCCAAGCATGGATATACAACATTACTATAATATTGCGATTGCAATTCTGGCATAGTTTACTTAAAAGAACTGCAAAAGTATTAGCTAAAATAAGTATTGCGGATATACTAAAATTAAAATACACATATATTAGCGATCGATGTGAATCCATATTTATATTGATCTTAATCCATAGATAAGTCAAGTCGATCAAAATAGCTTTTTTAGTATGACAATGGAGGGGCGAGAGGTTGAACATTTCCTGGCCGTTAAAAAAAGTAATAAATGCTTTTATCATTGAACTATATTGGGATGGACATTTATCAGCTTGATAAAGACATTATATTATGTATTCTAAAGGTTAAATGTTGGAGTCTCCGTCTATAGTGTTGAATTAAAAAAAATATGGGTTAGTCACTTATGACTTCGAAAATTTGTAACGTGTAGCTAAAATATTTGTCATATTTACAAATATAGCGACAAATTTTGGATTTTACAAATATGACAAAAAAATTTAAATCTGATTTTTTTAGTTACTCCAATTTTACTCTTCCAGATTTTCAGGTATATCGAGTATGTATATCATCATTTATATCAAATATATCATTGGCATATCGACACTCATAATTAATTAGGTATATCAACATTCAGGTATAGAAGATAGACATTTAGATTATAAAAGACATATATTTCATCTAAAATATATAAATAACACATCACAATTCAAACATTCATATTGGATATATCGTTTATATATCAACCCTTATAATTAGGTACATCAATGATATATCAAATTACGTATATTAATATAATATATCAAATTAGGGTATTGTTTGGGTTTGGTGTTCATGAGGGTATGTTGAAATTTTGCTATTAATCATTGATTAAACTAAAAAAAAAAGTTAATGGTCGATTTATTGTTTGAAAAAAAAGTTATTTCTATA